AAAGTTTTGCTTAAATATCACAGCAATATTAGGCTATCATATACATTTACAAAATTTTATGACAGTCAGATGTAAAACTACATGTATTGCCTATTGAGTATTATTGGTGGCTTTGGTCTTTTAAAATACCGTACCGGGTATTGAATGAAATATTTTAAATATGTACCGGCACCGTGCAGCCTACACAACACATCAAGTCTTATAAGGATAACCAAATTTCCAGCAAATTTACTTTTACTTTTACCGTGTAGCCTACACGTGATGGTCTGTTATTATAGGTACCTGAATCATTGATAGAAATAGCAAGTTTATTTGTAAGATTAGCCTACATAAAACTCGTCATTCACTTGTGTACATTTTGAAGCGGTAGCCTGATAAAAGAAATGCCGACCGTAAATCTCGATCATTCGGGAATCGTCGCTAATCGCTATATAACGCCTACGGCCCATGGTGGCAGTATAATCTGAAATAATATAATGTCAAATAAGGCAGGCATGCTTGCATGCCGTGTGTTCAAAGCCACATTAGGTCCTAATGAAATTCAACTATCAAAACATTCAATTCTCGTCGGCCATTTTGATTATAGTCTATGTCTATATAGAGCGTACCGGTATCCGATACATGACCTAGATACAGGACGCCGCCATGTTGGTGGACAACAACACACAAAGTACCTCTCCGTAAACATGGTAATAGATTTTAGGACCATCCAACATTGATTGTTTTTCAAAGTTAATAAATATAAATGCGCCAGAAAATAATTTACATATTTGAAAAGATCAAAGAACGTGCTTTTCAGTGATACGTAATATGACATCTGGAATTTTGTATTTTAAGACCCATATTTTTAATTTAAATACCCGGCCATATCCCCGTCAAATAATACGAGTTCCGTACCACTGGACTTTAGACGAAGCGAAACAGCGAATAACCACCAATATGATTAATTATTATGTGTAAATAATGAATACAGGATTTCATTTCCTCGATACAGAAAGGGGGGATATCGCAATAATAAGCTGCGTATCTAGTACTTGGACTCCGTGAAGAGCGAACCCCGCTAATGACCTATTTTTAGACAGACGCCATATTTCAGTACATTCACTTATTTGTTTCAATCGAGCAGGCTAATGAATATGGATTTTGAAACAGTTCAGGCGGTAATATATATATACTATTCAAAAAAAGTAGGGGATATTTGATTTTGGGGGCATGATACTAAAATATGCAAATGACTACGAAAAAAGTCACTATAGAACCTAACAGAAGAAACATTTCCAGTTACATGTGACGCCCAAACGCACCAATAGCTACCGCATGGCATGCAGGTGATGCTTGGGATCATCATGGGGGTCCAACCCAAGATTTGCACGACTCTGACTTTGAATGTTACAGTCATTGTGGCATTGAATTCCAGGGTGGAAACATCAGTTTAATTGTTTTAGTGACCAGAAAACAAATTTTGATATGCGTCGGCTTACCCAAAATGAAAGGTTACGTGCCCTTGGCATGCTACAGATCGGCATAACACAGGCGGTTGTGGCGCGGACGATGAATGTTTCTCAGTCTGTCATAAGCAGGCTATGGTCCAGATACCGTGATACACAATCTGTACAGGACAGACCACGCTCAGGTCGACCAAGGGCGACAACTCAAGCCCAGGATCGATTTATCCGTACCTTGGCCTTGAGAAATCGTGTCATCACAGCAAATCAGATCAGCGCTCGTCTTCAAACAGACACTGGTGTGAGAGTGAGTGGCAAGACGATTCGGAATCGACTGCATAGGGGTCACCTTCGCGCCCGACGTCCTCGCGTGATCCCTTGTTTGAGAGATCATCACATTCAGGCAAGACGTCGTTGGTGTAGGAATCGTCAACACTGGGATAATCGACGCTGGAGCAATGTGATGTTTTCAGATGAGTCAAGGTTCACTGTTGATTTTTTGGACAGACGTAGGAGGGTGTGGCGTCGTCGAAACGGGCGCTTCCAAGACGTTAACGTCATCAGACATGATCGATTTGGGGGTGGTTCTGTTATGGTGTGGGGAGGCATCACTGTTGCTGGAAGAACGGCTTTACATGTTGTTGCAGGGCGTGTTACAGGCCAGTACTACCGGGACAACATCTTGGCAGTCCATGTTGTGCCGTTCGCACGACGTCATGGCCGCCGTTTCATCTTCCAGGATGACAACGCAAGATGTCACAGGGCCAGGATCGTTACAGGTTACCTCCAACAACAGAACATCACCACATTACCTTGGCCAGCACTGAGTCCCGACCTCTCCCCCATCGAGCATGTCTGGGACATGCTTGGACAGAGGTTACGTCAACGTCAACAACGTCCTGCCAATGTCCAAGAACTTGCTGCTGCGTTGCAACAGGAATGGGACAATCTGGACCAAAATGACCTTAGACGTCTCATTAGGAGTATGCCACGTCGGATCAATGCTTGTTTGGCAAACAGAGGAGGATTTACCCGTTACTGACTTGGTTGTGATGCTGTGGTAACTTTGCTGTTTGACCCCGGGTATCATTTTACCCTTATAATGGTCAGTCTGTGCCTTACTTAGTCTAACGATCATTTGGAATAAATCGATGAATGTGAACTTCATTTCATTTTGTCATTTGTTTCTTCGTCAGTTTCATTAGGTGACTTTAATAACACTTAAAAATCAAATATCCCCTACTTTTTTTGAATAGTATATATATATATATATATATATATATATATATATAATTACCGCCTGAATTGTTTTAAAATCCATACAATTTTTCCTTTTTTTGTTAATGAGCGGAGCCGGTCGATGGGGGTGAATGAAATGATCATTTTTTAATAGTCTTTCAGAAGTGACGATGAAATGATCATCTATTTTCACTATCTCTTAGAAGTGTTAATGACACGCAGTTGTATATAGACTATCTTTCAGAAGTGACGATGAAATGATCATCTATATGATCTATCTCCCGGAAGTGTGAACGAAATGATCGTTTTTTTAATAGTCTTTCAGAAGTGACGATGAAATGATCATCTATTTTCACTATCTCTCAGAAGTGTGAAAGGCATGTAGTTGTATAAAGACTATCTCCCCGAAGTGTTAATGACATGCTGTGAAAATAGACCATCTTTCAGAAGTGACGATGAAATGTTGTGAAAACAGGCCATCTTTTGGAAGTGTGTTAGAAATGAACATTTCGGTGGAGTTTTTTTAACACTTCGTTTGAAGTGTCTATAGAAGTGTGTTGGAAATGAACACTTCGGAGGAAGTGTACACTTCATTTCGGTACGGGAAGTCTTAAGCCACCAGGAAGTGGTTAACATAGTAATGTTTTATTACGATAGTAGTACATAAAACAAATTGGTTGCCTGAGGTTCTCGGGGGGAAAGTAGCCTCATCGGCTAGAGTCCTCTATTTCACAAGCAAAAACAACAATTGCTTCCTTGAAAATTTATCAATCAACCCTTTTCACAGACGTCCAGCTTACCACTTCCCGTCAATGCAGTAAGATAGAATATGTAGTTGGGGTTTTCTCAAGGAAAACTGGTCAACAAGTTGGGGAAAAAAGCTCGAAAAGTAATCCAGAAAAAAATCCTCTGTGCGGCCCTCGGAATATGATGGAATATGTTGAATATTATTATGGTTCAAGTGATTATATTTGACCCTGGAATGAAAGTAAGCTCAGAAACAAGTAGATTTTTAGCCCTTCCGACGAGATGGATAGCTCTTGGAAAGGATAGACACTTTTCAGATTACAGCCTGTCCGAGAATTGCGTGACATCCATTTCGTTTGGTGATTAGGATACATAGCGGTTAAACCTGGAACTTCAACTCGGACTATTCAGAGATTTATTAACTCGCTTTTGATGATAATTGCTGTTTTATGATGCAATTTTTTGTTACCTAGGGAGGAGTTGGCCTAGTCGTGCCTTCCACTAATTCGTACCACCCTGACGACAGCGTTACTGGTAAGAATCAGGAGACCGGCGCAACCGGCATATAATGGGGCCCTCCGAGGGCAGTGTTTAATCTACTGAAATACTGAAACACTGAAATCTACTGAAATTTACTAAAATCTACTGAAATTTACTAAAATCTAAAATTAAAATACAAAATAAAATATGGTCAATGATGGAGTTAGACTGATTGCGTCTTTTAAAACATTAAAAACATAATAGGCATCAACAAAATTTTGGACAAAAAAAATCGGATTTTTTTTTTTTTTTTTTTTTTTTGGGGGGGGGGGGACTATTTGTAAAACGAACATCGTAATGACCTTGCCCTTCCTTCATCGGCGCTCACTTGGTCCAAAACCGCACACAGAGGACCAGGCTCCGGGTTACCTATTTAGGATGTTTTCCGGTATTTAGTGTTTTTCCGGTGTTTTTCGGTATTCAGTATAAAATGGTGTTTTCCGGTTGTTTTCCGTTGTTTTCCGGTTGTTTTCCGTTGTTTTCCGATTGTTTTCCGTTGTTTTCCGGTATATAGTATGGCCCGAAAACTATACCTAATGGGAAATGGGAAACTTCTTTATATGTGGGTTTTTTGGTTTTTTTTGACAAAGAATTGTTACAGATGCACGAGGTCTGGTCCACCTTTACCTTTATTAAAATAGGGGTTGTGTGGTCTACTGCTTAACGCGTGCGCGCTGTATCATAAGGTCTGCTATTAAGTCAAGCGGCGTGGTTTCGATTCCCTACCTGTACGTGACAAGAAGTAGGATCACGTGAACAACTTCCTTCGTACGGTTTATCTGACTCCCCCGGTTTCCTTCCTCTGCTAAAGAACCCTACACACAAGCGAATCATTGATATAAAATTGAAACACGTTAGTCTCAAAATGACCTACTATGTGTCGAGTGGAAGTTAAACTTTATTGTTTCCCCTTCATTAAATATTGCCGAATCCATCGGATCGCACGAAAACTAGCTGACAACCTTTGTGAACCCCGATGAGTCTCAGAATACCAAACATTTAATTGACAAGTTATCTGTATTGTTTTAGTTGAACACCTTTACACTTGGTTTACCAATTGGATAAGAAAGGCGAAATGGACCCAGAAGAGCGTAAAGATCAGGATGTAAATAGTTCGCAGAGTGAAGACCAGGAGACGTAATCAATTTTATTAATTAATATAGTTTTTTTTAATGTATCATATAATGCTTCTTGCTCAAATTGATATGGAAAAGTTGTTTTGTCCTCGAGTTAGAAATGTCCCTGTCACACTATTGCGTATATGTCAGCTCACGAAATCTATCACCCATACCCTGGTATATACAAGGGATATGTTGGAAGTATCTAAATATAGATCTAGGAGCCAATATTAAAATATTAAAATATAAATATATGGGATTTACTAATAATCTCAATTAAACCTATTGATGTGTGTATACCAACTTGTCAACGTTCATTTCTATATTATATATTTTCAGATTGCCGTTATCCATATCAGAGTCAGTGTCCTTGCTAACGACCTTAACCGATAATAGAAAGGCTTTGGTACTAATTCTCCGGGAAGAAGCCAAACAATTGAATGAGATGGCAAAGAACGTCAGGATAAGTGAAATAAGTGGAAGTACGGCTGGTATTGTCGGAGGTGCCATGATAGTTGCAGGGGTATTAGGGGCACCCTTCACTTTCGGTGGCTCTTTAGCTCTCACAGGGACGGGGTATGTCCTCAGTGCAGCAGGTGGCTTAACTAGTGCTGTGGCGGCCATCACTGAATACGTTATCAACAAAAACACGCGTGAAAAAATCAACAAACTTCTTAAAAAAGACGAAGAGTCGATGGGTCAATTAAATGACACATTAGCGATTGTTTATAATTCTGTGAAATTCGCTAAAGGCGGATCGATACTAACCGCAAAGGGTGTTAAAGCCCTTCTAAAATTGTTCCCCGAAGCAGCTGGGAATGCTGCTGCTAATGCCGCCAATCTGGCGGCTAGAATTCCTAGAGTAGCTAGATTTGGTGGAAGAATTCTTAGAGTCATTAGAGTTGGTAGCAGCGCTCTGACATTCCTAGCCTTACCTCTCGACGTATATAATCTTGTGTCCAATTCAAAATATCTTCACGAGGGTACGCAGACTGAATTGGCCAAGAGATATACAGAGATTGCGGATCAGATTGAAAGCACTGAAAAAGATCTAAATAATCTAAAAATCAAACTATCAAACTGTGTACAATAGAACCTCTATATGTAACACAGGAGGGGGGGGGGGGGGTAATAAATACGTAACACAAACTTACAAACATACCAACTTACAAATGGTTTTTAGTCTAGCTTAATTTTTCTTCCTGGGGGCAGGCCGATGGTACCTCATCCCCTCCCCTCCTCTTATATTAATTTCAATTTGTTCCGATGGACCTGTAGAACACAACCGGAACTATTGTCAAACAGAATATTATTGATTAATATAATATGTAACGTAACCTACCCGGATGTACTATGTATGTATCTACTGTAATTTAAATAGGTCAAGTGAAAAGAACACCGAACAAACATATTGCTGGGAAGATGGTTTTATCAAGAACATGTGTTTTATAAACAAATTTATAACAATAACTAACAAACAATATACTGTCTATTTGCTTTGAATAATAATAAGCATTCAACCATATTGACATATTATCTTATGTTTTAAAATAAAAGTCTTAAATCAATTTTCAGTGTTAAATATTCTATAAACATGTTGAATTCTAGCTACGATAATGAATAACTTGGTCATATTCTATAAACATGTTGAATTATAGCTACGATAATGAATAAGTTGGTCATATTCTATAAACATGTTGAATTCCAGAAACGCGTGCTTTTTATATAATACAAAGGTATAGCAAGGATTTATTGGATATTGGAGGGGGGGGGGAGGGTTCTAACCAAGAAGCTTTAATGAAGTGGAGGCGGCATGACGCCATATTGGTTAACCCAAAACAGCGTCTTTGTAATTAATTCCGTTGCCGATATGGCGTGCCGCTCCATGTAATATAATATTGTGTTGGGAAAAAATCCCTTTGCCTGCTAGTCAACAAAATAAAAGGTATGATGAAATTCTGCATTGTGCGATTGTTTTTGGTTTATTCATTTAATTAATTTTTTTGTAATTGATGTCTAGCGTCACTCTCGTGTCTCATCAGTATTTGCTTTATCAGTTTTTCGGAACGTAAATTTCTGTGAATGCAACGGATTGAGCTTAGATGGGCATTGGGTTGAATTTATTTTGCGAAACCAAAGGCCGCTGTATTCAAGGACTGAATTAGCACTCCTGAGTAAAGAAATCCGGCTTTTCTACTTTGGTCGACCGACATTACCAGCTACGGCCCCGAGAAGTCCAATGGGGAATTTTATCGGCCATTTCATTTCTGCGTCCTCCGCCGAAGAGGAACCTGGACTTCAGGCGGGCACATCATAGTGTGATTTCGGCTCCAAAACCACAAAAGTAATGACCGGAACAACAGGAAAACTCGCACACCTAGGTCTAGATTCAAGAAATATTGCATTTATTTTTATACAGAAAAACAATACATTGCATTATTGCGACACAACATGAAGAATAAGTCGCCAGATCCAAAACTTCTCCTATTTACAGGACAATAACTGACCAAGTTTGATGAAATAATAATGTTTTATTTGATTTCGATTATTATTATATCCATAAAGCTTTGTCTTATTTATATTTCATTTGATCCGAAGTCATGACATTTTAATGTAATAAATGTAATTTTCTACAATCCGTTGTACTCTTCTTCCGATGATATTTTCAATTCTATAACTTTATGTAAATTCGGGCCTACATGATTTATTATAACTTAATTATTCATTATTTATATCTGTACATGTGTTGCCTTTCACCTAAAACAAATTACCTCTGGGATTATATTATCAAAATAAAAGCTTTATTCACTGCACACAACCAATTAATTTTAATGTTTTGGGTTAACCAATATGTCGTCACTGGCTTCAATCGTCATAATGGTAAAATGAAATGACGTCATGCCCTCTCAATGCAACGCATGCTTTTTACATAATACAATGGTACAGCAAAGATTTAATTGGATATAAGGGGGGGTGGGTGAGAGTGGGTGGGGGGTAACGCGTGTTTTTTATATGAAAAAGGTACAGCAAAGATTTAATGGATACCGAAGTAAGTGAAATGAAATGAGGTTTAGCGTCCGACTAGGCTAATGAAGACGAGCATACACCATATAGTGTGCTATAAGAGAAAATGTGCTCGGGCAGCGCCACTACGGCCTACTCTTATATCGAAATCCAACTGACAAGGGATCTTTTACATGCATACCAATCCATACACGGGTCCTCGGTTTTTCGTCCAATCCGAACGACTAGACAGCTGTCGGGCCATCTGTCCTGCACCACTGACAAGGGGAAATCACGTTGGAAAATCCCGATGAAATCCCAATTCAAGGATCGAACACGCAACCTCCAGACTAGCGGTCCAGTGTCTATACCCACCGTGGCTCCAAGTACAGAAGTGATCTAAGTGCAATGGTACGATTTCACACTGGACGTAAGAAGAATTTGGTAACACCGATCGCGGTCATTAGGTTTGGAGGCGGAAGCGGCGGACGGGGTTCGTTTTCTCGTGATGGCTTGTGACGAAGGATGTAACTCCGGGAGGACGGATTATCCAGGGGCGGAGACCGGTCAAGCAAATAATTCGGGTCGAAGTAAGCCTTAAAAACAAGCTGAACTATGTGGTACTTTCTGGCATGGAGTTTGATTTTAATATAAACCCATGCATAACTAATTATAACTAAAACTGCATTTTTATGAATTCGGGTGTAAAATAGTTTTTGTTGTAGCTTTACGGTTGTGCTAATATTTCTGGATATATATATATATCCAAAATTTTTAGCACAACCGCAAAGCTGCACCGCTTTGTTTCACGGTAAATGATGAAAAGATAAATAAAAAGGTATGCCGGCACAAACTGATTTCAACACTGGTTTAATAACATTTTAACATTTTAAAGTACGTTTCGTCCGTCTTGGGACTATTCATAAATAATATTATTGTATAAAGATGGACAGTATAGTATATTTATACATATTTACATATTAACACTGTGGTTTTAATTTTCTATATTATAGTTACCATTGTATATGGTTACATAGTGTATCGATTACTAATAGAAAACATGTACACACGTGTGTTAATCTGTAGTATATGAGTTCAATTTAGAAACAATGAGTGGAAGATAATCAAGGGATAGATTTAAGAAAATTAATGAAGCTTATGGCCAATTGTAACTTGTTGACTATTAAGTCGAGGAACGTATTTTTTTTAATAAAATGGTTTTCCATTAATTTCCTTTTCGTGGTGTCATCGACTTTCATTTTATAAAAAGGGAAATTTTGGAATTGTACTTGTAGGTGTTGTGCACATTATAAGATATGTCTATTTACAAATAAGGGCCCATTTTCAATATTACAATCCCGTCGATGGTTGCGCACTCTATCCCATAGGACGTCTCCCCTATGTAAAAATTGTGTCACAATTAATATTGTCGTTGACACTAAATGTAAACTTAGGAAAATTAAATTTGTTATTTGGCGTAATATGGTCGCAACATTTACATCAAAGATCCGGGCATTTAGATACATAAAATCCGATCCTTGTGATAGACGAATTGAATTTTACTTTGGTTAGGAGGCGTTTGAGATTAGGTAGCTGTCTTAGTGATTTAATGAATTGAACATTATCAAATTTCGTTCTGAGGTTGTCGTTTGATGTCAGGATTGCCCTGCTCTCGTACATTGTTTTAAAGAAGTTGGGATGTTGGGGGTTATGAGTAGCGACAAAGGTAATGATATTATCCGAACTGTCTTTGGCTTAAGTAGACCTCAGTGTTTGGATATCAATTGCCAAAGCCTTATTTATCCCAACGTCTATTACCTCGGGGGGGGGGGGGAATACTGTTTCAATAAATTTATATATATATATATTGAAACAGTGCTAATATTTCTGGATATATATATATATATTATATATATGTAAGAACCAAAATTTGACCAAATTTGTTATTGATGCCAACAAAATTTGGTTATGATACCATAAATTAACCTTCCAATTCACCTGTGTAATCTTTTGATAATACCGGGGTGGGTGGTCGGGGTTGGTTGAGGTTGGATGACTGAATGATTAGCGCGTGTATTGAGTCAACTGGCATGGTTTCGAGTCCCCAGTTAAGTGACAAGGAGTAGTCGCCTGTCCAACCTTGTAGGTTTTCCCCAGGTATTCCGGTTTCCTCCCACTGCTAAAGACCCCTACACGCATGCACAGATTATTGAAATAAAATTGAACCATATGTAAGTCTCACAAAGACATTAAGTGGGTCTATAACTTATCTTAAAATTTCGATGTCCTACACCTATATCATATTTTCAATGACATCGAAATTTCAGAAACTATATTCATGAAAAGTTAAAATATTGAAAAACAATGTTTTGATACAATAATCAACATAGGATCTTTCTGAAACTTTGACCTACCCCCCCCCCCCCCCACACCAAGAATGGGTGGTGGCTTTGGAATGAATATATTTACAAAACGTTTTACGAATTCGAAATCATCGAATTTTACGAATAAAAAAACTGATAATGCATAGTCGTGATTTTTAGCCTATTTTAATAATTCTTTTTTCTTTGGGAACGTTGAAAAAAATCATTTTCATCTGCAATTTCAGATTTTCGAATTTAGAAAATTCGTCACTGTGATTTCGACCCGGAAGTTGAGACCAACTTAACTTCTTTAATATTTGCACGATTTTGTTGAATTTAGGTATGTAAGTGGATCTTACTGATGCGACGTGAAAGATGTCATTAGAAATTCTCCCCTTGGAGAAATGAAGGATCAAATTTTTAAAAAAAAATCGACGAAATATAATCAGATTACCTTGAATTATTTTTTCTCTACTAGCTACGACACCGTTGATTCGTACACAAAAATGGCGTTTGTAGCTCAATCCGGTAGTGCCGAAATCTTGAAATGTGACAAATCCGTAAGGCTTTTTTGATATTTTACTTACAGACAAGGGAATTATATACTGAGCGCCATGGAAAACGCATCACTTAGTTTTTAGTATAACAAAATGATCCTGTAAACATATCTTATTTATTTTGCTTCGTATTGTGAACAATATTCAAATGGGAACACATCAATAACAACACATTTGTACACTTATGGATCTTTAATCTGTAATCAACGGTACAAAGTCAGAGGGGTCAAAACCAAAAGTACAACACAGATGTCAGTAGCGCGTGTGTCCTCCACGGGCTCTTACGCACGCTGTGCAGCGACGTCGCATGGAATTTACCAATGTTTGAAAGAAGGCCTGGGGCAAATTTTTCCATTCTTGGACAAGAGCCACCTCTTAAAGCAGCAATGGTGTGCATCTGTGGTCTCCGATACAGACGGCGTCCAATCTCATCCCAGACATGTTCTATCGGTGCCATGTCGGGAGACATGGCTGGCCAGTCCAAGACATTGATGTTGTTAGCAGCCAGGTAGTCCATACTAAAACGGGCGGTATGCGGACGTGCATTATCCTGTTGGAAGTGCTGAAGTTGTGGGTGCGCTCCAAACATCGGAACAACAATTGGTTGCAAGACATCATCACGGTAGGCTACAGCATTAACTCGACCCCTCCAAATGTGTAGGACGGTCCGGTGATGAAATGTGAAGCCTCCCCACATCATTACACTTCCCCCAACCCATCGATTCGTTTCGAACTCGCAGCAGTCTGTAAGGCGTTCCCCAAGACGTCTCCACACACGTTGCTGCCATCAGCGTGATAAAGATGAAAGCGATTCTCATCACTGAAGAGCACACTTTGCCAGTCTACTCTTCTCCATGTCTGGTGTCCTTGAGCCGATATCAAACGCCGCTGACGGTGATGGTCCCTGAGGATAGCTCCAACATAAGGTCGTCGTGCACGGAGTCCTACTTCTCTTAGACGACGTCTTACGGTGTTGGCACTTACTGGTCCTTGTCTTCCGACGACTGCTGCACCTGTTCGAGTTGCTGGGCGGAATCTGTCACGCAGATGAGTGACCCGGATGTAGCGGTCTTGAGCCTGGGTTGTAACGCGTTTTGGACCAGGACGTTGACGGTCACGTGTTGATCCAGTAACTCGAACCTTACAATAGTGGACTGATGACAATTGAAGTGTCTGGCAATAGCACGTGTAGACATGCCAGTCCTGGACATTCCCATGGCTTCATTCCGTAGATTTTCAGTAAGTCTTGGCATCTCTAGCTCGATTCCTTCACACATTCAACAACAAATTACCACAGATTGACGTTTCACAGTTCATTTACTGGTATACTTCAACAGATCAATCAACTTGTTAAATCAGAAGAGAAGTAATAAATCTAGTGAATGTCATCCATAAAGCTGTCTGTTATTATATATCACTTTCACTAAATGCCTTTCAAAGACAATATTAGCACGTGTTTGTATTACGTATGTCCTTTGTTCTTTTCCTAGAAAATGATTTGTTAGACGGCTTTTATACTTTATATGGGTCGTTTTATTTTGTTAATGGAATGTAATGCGTCTATTTTACACGTCAAAATTCAGACTAAACCTCCCGTTCATCTGTGTCTAGGTCGTAAAGTCAAACTTTAATTAACAAAAGCTTGTGTACCTTTTTATCAAGCGTTGACAGCAATGCTTTGCATGTTTTTTGTAAAGGACCTAGATATTTTCCGAGTAAAATTAGCATTAAGGTAATTGAATGTAATGAATTCGATAACGTATC